TGAACTATATCCCCAGCCCACCCATATTTATGGAATGACTAAATCAATGGAAGACTAGTACAGCTGGGCATGGTGGCCCATGCCTGGAAGCCCAGCACTCAAGAGGCTGAGGCAGGAGGATCTCTCTGAGTTTGAGGCCAGCTGGGCTACACAGTGAGACCCTAATCTCAAAAAAAAAAAAAAAAAAAAAAAGAGTGATACAATGAGGAGCCTCTCAGGTCCTTCCCAGGGTGCCTTGTGGCAGTTAGCACTGACCATGACACCCACCGAATGCCAGCCTCACTCAGTGTGTGGATTTCAGACTTAGATTTGCTCAGAAATAACTTCAGAAAGTGGAGTTCTCCAAAGTTATGTCTTGTGGCTTCTCTCATCCCTGACTTCCCCTGCGCAAAACCGCACAGCCGCCAAGCCAGGCCCTTGCTTTCCCACTGCCAGTCCATTCCTCAAAGGAAACCCTTCCCGTGTGATCCGTGTCACGTGGGTCCAGGCATGCCAATGTTTTTCCCAAGCCAGGGCCCACCCTAGAGCACCGGCCTGTCCCGCTGCCCAGGGACTCCATGTGTGACACATTCACAAGCTGTGGAGCCTGGGTGACCACAAGTTGGCGGTTGTAGGTGGCACGTGAGTGCGCTGGTGTTGTTGCCAGGGTTACGCTGTCATTTAGGCAGCGCTGAGCTGCCGGCGAGCCTGCTTATGTAACGTCCCTCTGTATCTCAGTACCGAAGCATTTCAAATCCAACTTTTGCTCAGAAATCTCTTTAGAAAATGGAGTTTCTAGGGCTCTGCCTTTGGCTTCTGTCGAGCCTGCTTCCTCTGGGAAGAACCACCCAGATGCCCGCAAGGCGTCCAGGCTGGGCCCTGCCAGCACAGCCTGTGCTTGTGGAGGAGGTGAGAGGATGGCCCCATGGGTTCCGGTGTTTGTCCCCTGCAGGAAGCAGCGGGTTAGTCATGCCACTCTTAGCTGGAGCCAGCTCACTTTGGGAGCCAGAAGGGCACGTGTTTGCCCTGGAACCCACACGCCCGGCCAAGCGCATTCCTTCCCCAGGCCGACCTTGGCTGGTGTGGACACTGGGTGAGAAGACACCAGGGACAGGTCTCTGCCCCTTGGGAGGAGTTTGGTGTGTGAGGTGGGAGTTTTAAACCCAGTCATGGTGTAGCGGGTGCTGGCTTTGCAAGGGGGCAGCTCCAGAGGGCTAACAGGGAAAGACTCTTTCTTTGGGAACCAGAGCCTCACTCTGCTGCCCAAGCTAGTTTCAAACTTGCAGGCTTAGCAGCTAGGACTACAAGCACGTGCCACAGCCCTGGGCCTAGAGAAGACTCTTTAAAAATCTTGTTCATTGGCACAGTCTTTCAGGCCTCGTCTGGCAGAGGCCTCGCTCCTCCGCAAAGCCGGGCCTGTGATGGGTACGCATGCGCAGTGAGCCACACACCTCCAGACGTCAGTGAGCACCAGCTTTCTTTTTATCCTGCTACAGGTAGATGTTCTGCTTTATCATTATCTCTGGGCCTGGGGCTGGGACACAAGCAGACAGACAGACCTGAGTTCTGCCACCTGCAGTGGGATCTTGGCTGGCACATGACCTCCAGGGGCCGTGGAACTCACCTGTCAAAGGGCTGGCCACACCTCCCTGCAGCGCCGCAAGGCTCAGATGAGAAAGCAGAGGTGCAATCCCAGCCCGGCCTCTCAGACCGGCCCCCTTCTCCTCTTGTCCTAGCTGGGTCACTGGAAAGAAGTTCAGCACTCCACCCACCTGCAGCACTGGGCTCAGCTGCCTGCGGATATGAAGGAGCGCGGGTGTGCTTGGCCCGAGGCCTGTGCCCTGGCAGGACAGGGAGGCGAAGAGGGTGGGAGTCCTGTGAAGGGCACACAGAAAGATAGCACCCTTGTGAAAGGGTCTACGGGGCGCAGACCTCATGCCTCACCCACGCACCCACTGCGTTCCAGCTGGTGGGGAAGGCCCCCTGCCACTTTGTTCAGCAGAATCTGTAACTGGTCTCGCAAGACAGTAATGTCACCACACGAGGACCTGTTGCCTGAGTCCCGGCACTGAGCCTCAGAATCCTGCATACAGCGTGGGGCTTACGCTAGGTCAGATCCCTGTGGGTTGGGCAAGATGGGTGCTGTGCACAGGCTCCGGGCGCAGAACGACCACTGCTCCCTCGCCCTCCTCCTTTTACCCTTCTGATTATGAGATGCTCTCCCAAGCACCCAGCCCCACTGTGGACCTCCTGAATTAGGCATCTATGATGCAGAGCCGCTTTCTGTATCTTCCAGAAGCTCCTCGGGTGATTCTGATGCACAGAGGGGTTATAAACATTGGATTTGGAGCCTGGCTCAGTGAGGTGCTCAGCTGATTTTGTTTTTGCTTTTTTTTTTTCTGTGCTCTTCTTTTGTTTTCTGCAATACTGGGGATTGAATCCAGGCCCTCATGCGTGCTAGGTAAGCACTCTACAGCCTTAGTTTGCCTTGTATTTTACTTTGAGACAGAATGTGACTGTGTTGCCTAGGCTCAGACTTGGCAACTTTCCTGCCTCAGCCTCATGGTGATGGGGCTACAGGGTAGAACCACCATGCCTGGTTTGCTAATCTGTGTTCAATAGCTCCGAAGAACTTGCCCAGCTCCTTCTGGCTCTACTAATGAGCAGGCCTCGGGTGCAAACTAACCACAGACAGAGTTTGGCCTAGTGTACGTTCACCATATTTATTTCTTATGATGTTCTATATGTAGCAATTAATCCCAACTCTGGTCTGTGTTTATGGTAAAGACAAGCTGGGCTTAGTGGCACATGCCTGTAGTTGTAGCTATTCCAGAGGCTGATGTAAGAAGGTTCCAAGTTCAAGGCCAGCCTGGGCCACTTACCAAGACCCTTTGGTCTTAATTTTCTATCACTGGGACCAAACACTCCACATCTGCAGGTTAAAGGAGGAGAGGTTTAATTTGGCCCGTGATTCAGGGGCTCGGTCCACGGGCAGGTGGCTCCAGCACAGGACTGTCATGGTAGAAGGTTTGGCAGAGGAGAGCAGCCAGGTAGTAGAGGGTGCAGGGAGGAGTCAAGGAGGGGGAGACCCCCAAAGGCCAGCTGTGCCCCAGCTCCTCCCTGGCCCCCATGCCTGATCACAGCTAACCACGAGCTCTCTTCAGTGCACCAGCCCACAGATGGGTACAATGTCGCCTTGATCCAAGCACCCTCTTCCACACACATGAGATTTTTTTATTTGTTTGGTACAGGGTCTTGCTATGCAGCTTGGACTCGTAGGGATCCCCCTGTTTTTAGCCTCCCCAGTGGAGCCATGTGCCACCACACCCAGCTTTGGTGGCTGGCATGGAGTGCCCAGTGTTCCACAACCAGCATGGCATGCAGTACTGGGAATCAAACTCGGGTCCTTGCACTTGCCAGGCAGGAGCTTAGATCGCTGAGCTATCTCATCCAGCTCCACATGAGATTTTTGAAGTACACTCTACATATAAATCTTAACATGGTCTCAAAAAATAATGATTTAAGGTAAAGATAAAAAGTCTCTCTCTCTCTCTCTCTCTCTCTCTCTCTCTCTCTCTCT